AAGCCACAAAAGGGAGCATTGCTCTACACCCACCCCAACCAAACATGGCATGGATTATATGATGAAAAACTGAGTTATAATACCTCAAAATGCACCCCAAAACCCACTGATATGAGTGGACTTAAAACTCACAGTAAATGCATTATTCCAATTCAGATAATCCAACCTTCACCCATAGGCATTCAGGCAGGTATATCACATAAGCAAACAGCCTCATGGTAAGCATGCTATCATGGCAGTCACTCACACACATGCAAGGATGGTAAAGCATAAACACTTACCGGGTACTCCAAGCCAAAACAAAAGCTATGTTAAAAATCCATGCATGATCCTAACTATACAGAAATGCCTAATGCAACACATGCAAAATGCGACTAAGATAGGCTCGGCTATTCTGAGGATGGCATGTGAAATGCTATAGCTAACAAGTATTCAACTCAGAATTGAAATACAAATGCAGTTGGTATGATGCGCCAAGCCCGGTGCATGCAAGGCAGATGAATGGATGAAAACATGCTATCATACTGTATGCTAATTGAAACATGCCCTAATCTAACCATCATAAGCTGGTAAATAAAAGGGAAAAAGACGTGGGGTTGGAAGACATACATCACACTCACGCACACTTATTACAATTGTGCCCTCACTCAGAGGGTCCGAATAAATAATATACAGTCTGAAATGAATAATTAAATATTACAAAATCCTAATTAATTAACAAATTAACTAGGAAAGCGATAAATCGGCACGCAAATCCATGGACCACCTCAGCTCTGTTCCAAATGACGAATGATGCATGCTCGAGTTGCCTTGGTCGGGAAATTCCTTGCGATGCCCCGATTCGCCTCTGTTCGCAATTAATGCCGGAATGCTGTGCAAGGCTTTAGAAAGCTGTTGATTTCTGATTTACTGCAACAGAGAGCAACAAAGGGGCATGGCAAAGTATTTCACATATGTATGCATGACTACTCTTCAGGGAGTGTAGTCCTCGGTCCTCGTATCACCAATCACGCATATCGATGCATGATGGCCGAGGAGTCGAATTGCACGACTCAATATGAGATGAATGCACATGAAAACACAACAAGACCTAAACTCCATCATGGGTAATCCGGAGTGTCGGCGACAGGGAATTGAGACACGTTCCATCACTCGGTAGTACGAAACGTCCATCGTTTCCCGTGCTCGGGCTAACTCCTATCCCAAACACAATGCAAATAGGATGGCATACACGATGCAACTAACATACAACCTAGCATATGCAATGCTATGAAATGGCATGCATACACAATGCATAATGGACTTACACCAATCATGAGTGGACCTCAGCCACACTCACATCAGTGGCCATTAGATGAAAACGAGATGACCGAAATGCATGCACACATGCATGCAAATCGAGGACCGAACCTAAGGCATTAAATGCCACTCTACCAAAACATGGCAAGGATGAAGCATGGCATTCATACATGTAAATTTTTAGCACTGAAACATAATGCTAAATGGTCCCGAATCATGCAAACATGGCACCCGATGCATGGTGTAAGCCCCGAAACTCAAAACTAGGCACATGTATTGACTTGTAGCTATACAAAGCATGCATTATTTGACCATGAAGCACAAAGATAGAGCCGAAGCAGTCCCAAAACATGAACATTTCTAGTTCAAAGCATGACCAAAAGATGCTAGCATGATGGACTAAAATAGCATGCAACTTTGACTACCAAACATGGTTTACATGGCATGCATATGAAGCATATGAAATCTCACCAAACTAGCAAAAATCAGTGAATAAAACATGCCAAAATGTGTCCAAATAATTATTGAAATGCAGCCAACATATGTGCAAAAATGAGGGGCTTTTTTGGAAGGGCATACAAGGGGTAATTAAGCACATGCATCAAGGACACTTAGCATGGCACAACCAACTCTGGAAATCAAATATGACAGCCCTAAAACTCACCAAATTGACCCTGAAATTGGTCTAGGGAACATGCAATCTCACCAAACCAGCAAAAATTCGTAAATAAAACATGCCAAAATGTGTCCAAATAATCATTGAAATGCAGCCAACATGTGCAAAAATGAGGGGCTTCTTTGGAAGGGCATACACGGGGTAATTAAGCACATGCATCAAGGACACTTAGCATGGCACAACCAACTCTGGAAATGAAATATGACAGCCCTAAAACTCACCAAATTGACCCTGAAATTGGTCTAGGGAACATGCAAAGAAAGGCTTCTTTAAAGGGCTTTGAATGGGATTGGCCTACATATGCAACATAGACCTAAAATAGGGTGAAATGGGCCTCAGACAGAGCCAGGGCAGACCTCAAAACCCTCAGAACGAGGCCTAGAAAGTGACTTCGATGCATGAAAAATGGGGTCCCTTTGGGAGGCCCAAAAGATCCCCAAACAAAACAAGGAGAGAGGGGGTCACCCCCCTCTAATTTTGGCACTCAAAAATGCATCAAAGACACTGAAAATCCACTGGATTTCCGTGGCTAAGAGGCCAAACCGTGGCCAATGCAAGTGCTCTAATGCATAGCCTTAATCATGAAGGAATGAAGCATGCATAGGAGAAAATGATCCCAAACGGAGAATAGACCTTAATCAAACATAAAGATGATATCAAAACAAGATTTTTTCATTTTAGGTCGAGGTCTAAAATGGCTCACAAATAAGGCTAATGTATCATGCAAAAATAGTCCTAAAAGAGAGATTGAGGGAAAGGGGTAGTAGATGGCCTCAAACAGTAAAGAGCCCTCCAACAAAGTTGAAGAGGGGCTCAAAACAAAATACTTCACAGTTTATGGAAAATCTCGAATATGCTCACAAATAAGGCTAAAATATGATGCAAAAATAGCCCTAAAAGAGAGATAAAGGGAAAGGGGCAGTAGATGGCCTCAAACAGTGAATAGCCCTTCAACAAAGTTGAAGAGGGGCTCAAAATAAGATACTTTACAATTTATGGAAAATCTCGAATATGCTCACAAATAAGGCTAAAATATGATGCAAAAATAGCCATAAAAGAGAGATAAAGGGAAAGGGGCAGTAGAAGACTTCAAACAGAGAAAAGTCCTTAATCAAACATGAATATGAGATCAAAATAAGACTTTTTTTAGTTCAGGCCGAAGCCCAAAAATGTAAGCAAAAGGGGCTAAGATATAGAACAAAATAGTGCAAAAATTGGGAGAATAGGAGCCTACCCTTGTAGCCCAACTTTTCAGCAGCCTTTGGTCCAAGGAAATGAGCTTTCAACCTCTGCAAATGACTTCCAAGGGGCTGGAATGGATGATGGTGGTGTGGTGCTATGGGTTGTAGTGTAAATGGACCAAGGAAGTTAGGGTTTTAGAGCTTGGAATAGTAGCAATGGAGGTGGGAGGTGATGAGCCTTGGCCAAATTTTTCTAACCTTTTGATACAAAGAGGAGGGCCTCTCTTATAGAGAAGAGAGGCCAAAGCTTCCCTTGGAAGCTTGAAAGATCTTCCATACACATGTATGGAGGATGCCCCAAATAACCTCCAGCTGGCACAGCTGGATTACACTCAAAGAGAGGAAAAGCAATAAGTAGGCCAGCCAATTCAAGTGGTCGGCCGACCAGGGGTCAAAAGGTTCAAGAACAATTGCTGGTCAGCCTACCTAGAAAGGTGGCCTCCCAGATGAGTAGAACACAGCCCTGTGGAGAAAAACCAGAAAAATGTGACCCAGGGGAGAGAAAAGCTAGCTTTTAAGCCAGGTTCAAAAGGGTCAAAGTGAATTACTGGTCGGCCTACCCATATTGGTGGCCTCCCAGATGAGTAGATCACCATGGTGGTATGAAAAGCCAGAAAATGTGGCTCAAAAGTGGGAAAAACCAACTTCTGTCAGAAAAACCGGCTTTTGGGGCGAGACAAAGAGAAAATTGGCTTTTCAGGGGAATAGGTGGCCGGCCACCATCCTACCACTTCCCTAACAGTGAAAATAGGGTCCCTACCAAAAATGGACCAAAACGGATGCAAAACGAAGGTTCGGGGGCCAAAACGCGCGGTTCGAGGCCCCGAAAACAGGCTGTTAGGCACCGGAAGTGGCGTATGACCACGAAGGTGGTCTCCTGGGCCACAGTGTCCCACTAAAGGGAGGAAATAAGGTGTGTTCCAAAAACTGGAGCAAACGGAGGTAGTTAAGCGGTCCCGAACCGAGACATACGGCTGACGGCTCCGAAAACCGAAAACCGAAAATCGGGCTCCAAACGGGAAAAATGGCCTACAACCACAAAACATAGCCTACGGCCACTGAGAGATGATCTATGAGACCTCTTCCTCCCTTCAGGAAGAGAAAACAAAGAAAACAGGACCTGGTTCGCAAACCGAGGCAAGGCACAATAAGAGCCCCGAAGTCTGGAGGCAAGGCTCGCAGCCTAGACTCTAAAACCTCAGGTCGAGCACAATATGCAACATCACCGAGCGCTCAACTAGTGACGTCTAAGTCTTAAGGTTGGTCAAAAATGGGGTGTCTACAATGGGTCCTCAGCATAGAGAAACTGTTTGAGGTACTTCCTTGTCTAGAAACCCAGAAGGTGTTGTTAGCCACCTTTACTCTTGAAGAAGAGGCAAGAAGATGGTGGATGTTAATGTGTGAAAGTAATAAAAATATTGGTTGGGCACAATTTTTGGAGATTTTCTACGACAAATACTTTCCACAATGTGTCCATGACAGGAAAGTGAAAGAGTTCATGGGACTTAAGCATGATAGCATGATTGTAGCTGAGTATGAGGCCAAGTTTACTGAATTAGCTAGATTTGCACCATATATGGTCGATACCAACTACAATAAAGTGAGACATTTTGAAGAAGGGCTTCGAGATGATATCTTAGAGAAGGTGAATGTACTCAAGCTGGAAACCTATATTGAAGTGTTAGACCGGGCCATAATATCAAAAGCTAATATAGCCAGACAGGCCAAATCATCAACTAACTAGAAAAGTAGTAAAAAACAAGGCTTCTTTTCAAAAAAGAGATTTTCAAAGAAGTAGAATATGGGCTCTTCAAGTACTTCAAATTCTTCCAGAGACACATCCCCAATGTGCAACCAGTGTGGAAAAAGGCATCGTAGGGTTTGTTACTGTATATCAAGGGCTTGTTTTAAGTATGGTAAGACAAGGCACATGGCCAGAGATTGCAATCAAAGCAGTGGGAAGTTAGCTGTTATCTCAACTGCATCAATTCCAAAACTGGGAAACGCTACAAGGCCTACTACTACCAGAGATACCGTGAGGCAAGGAAGAGTCTTTGCGCTTGTTCTGGGTGATACACGGAACACAGAAGCCGTTGTCTTAGGTACTATCTCTATATGCAACCAGGGTGCTTTTGTATTAATCAACTCCGGATCAACACACTTTTTCGTAACTTATGCATTTGTATCTAGATTGAGTAGACCTTTAGAATCATTGCCATATTTGTTATGTGTATCTGCTCCATCCGAGGAATCTGTATTGTGTACATCTGTATGTCAATTTTTTGATATACGTATTAGGAATGCTACCTTGTATATAGATTTATTACCCTTGGACTTTAGACATTTTGATGTAATCCTGGGCATGAACTGGCTAACTAAATACTGTGCCACCATTGATTGTGTAACGAAACGGGTTGTATTTAAACCACCGGGGCAGAAAGAAATTGTGTTTGTGGGTAACGGGGTAGTGCCTCCACCTTATTTGATATCCTCAATGAAAGCATGTAAATTGATCAGGTCAGGAAAGGGTGCCAGGGTTATTTGTGTTGTGTGTTATTTGAACAATTTGTGAACGTAGGATTGAATAGTATCCCTGTTATTAGTGAGTTTTTAAATGTATTCCCAGATGAATTGCCAGGGGAATTGGTTGATAGAGAGATAGAGTTTACTATTGAAGTTGTGCTGGCACTTAGCCTATTTCTAAAACTCCCTACAGAATGGCTACTGCTGAAATGAAAGAACTGAAAGAACAACTGCAAGACTTGCTTGACAAAGGATTTATCCAACCAAGTACTTCACCATGGGGTGCACCAGTATTATTTGTGAAAAAGATAGATAGAACCTTACGCCTATGTATTGACTACTGTGAATTGAACAAGGTAACGATAAAGAATAAATATCCCTTACCCCGTATTGACGAGTTGTTTGATCAGTTGCAGGGATCGCAAGTATTTTATAAAATTGATTTGAGATCCGGGTACCACCAGTTGAAGGTAAAGACAGGAGATGTTGAGAAAACCGCATTTAGAACAAGGTATGGTCATTATGAATTCCTCGTTATGCCATTTGGGGTGACTAATTACCTCGATAAATTTGTTGTAGTATTTGTTGATGATATTCTGATATATTCAAAGAATAGATCTGAACATGAACAACATTTGAGAATCGTTTTGCAAACACTTAGAGAGAAGAAATTATTTGCTAAACTAAAGAAATGTGAATTTTGGTTGGATGAAATTATTTTCTTAGGACATGTCATCAACATAAATGGGATTTTGGTAGACCCCCAGAAAATAGAGGCAATTGTGAATTGGCCTACACTGACAAATGTAACAGAGGTCCACAGTTTCATGGGCTTAGCTGGGTACTACAGGAGATTTGTGAAAGACTTTTCGAAAATAGCTGTACCACTAACTCAACTCACACGCAAAGGACAACCATTTGAGTGCACTAATGAAAGAGGCTGTCTTTCAAGAGTTGAAGACGAGACTAACCATTGCACCAATTTTGACATTGCCCTCAGGTACGAAAAACTTTGTGATTTTCAGTGATGCATCTTATAAGGGTCTGGGTTGTGTGTTAATGCAGGATGGACAAGTAATTGCTTATGTCTTCCGACAATTGAGACCACACGAGAAGAACTACCTAACACATGACCTAGAGTTGGCCGCAGTTGTATTTGCTCTAAAAATTTGGCGGCATTACCTGTATGGGGCGAAATGTGAAGTTTACATAGATCACAAAAGCCTAAAATACTTCTTTACTCAAAAGGAGCTGAATATGTGACAAAGGAGATGGCTTGAACTAATAAAGGATTATGATCTTCAGATTCAATATCACCTCGGAAAAGCCAATACCATTGCCGATGCATTAAGTAAAAAATCAACGGGGAACTTAGCTTGTCTATACACTGACGAAAGAGAAATCTTGCAAGATCCGGAGAAAACCGAAATTGAAATTGTGTTACATGAACAAGCGGGGTTGATAGCTACTATTTCAGCTGAGCCAGCAATAGTTAATGAAGTCAAGCAAAGACAAAGAGATGATGAATTCCTCAAGAAAATAATTAAAGAGTTTGAAGCAAATCTGAAACCGAAATTTAGCATTGACAGTGAAGTGTTGAGATTTCAAAACTGAATGTGTGTCCCAAACATTCCTGAATTAAAGGAAAGAATCCTCGATGAAGCTCATAAGTCGGTGTTTGCTATGCATCTGGGTAACAACAAAATGTATCGGGACTTAAAGCAGAGCTATTGGTGGCCCAATATGAAGAGGGAAATTGTAGAATATGTGTCCAAGTGCCTTCAATGTCAACAAGTTAAAGCTGAACATCAGAAACCAGGCGGTCTACTTCAACCTCTCTCTATTCCTGAATGGAAGTGGGAGCATGTGACTATAGATTTCGTTGTTGGTCCACCTCGGACTCCTTGAGGTATGGACTCTATTTGGGTTGTAGTTGATAAACTGACTAAATCTGCACATTTTTTACCTGTTAGAACTATATTTGATGCTTATAGACTGGCTATTATATATGTTGATGAGATTGTTTATTTACACGGAGTTCCAGTATCTATTGTCTCGGATAGAGATTCAAAATTTGTGTCTAGATTGTGAAAAAGTTTGCAAAGGGCTATGGGGACGGAATTGAAGTTCAGTACCGCATTCCATCCATAGACAAACGGACAATCAGAACGGACAATACAGACTTTGGAGGATATGCTAAGGATGTGTGCCTTGGATTTTCAGGGGAGTTGGGAAGACTATTTGCCACTCGCAGAGTTTACATACAATAGTAACTTCCACTCCAGCATCGGTATGGCACCATACGAGGCTTTGTATGGTAGAAGGTGTAGATCACCAATTTGTTGAACAGAGATCGGGGATAGAGCTTTACTGAGGCCTGAAATTGTGCAAGATACTTCTGAGAAAATCAAAACTATTCGGCAAAGGCTCAAAGCAGCTCAGGACCGACAAAAGAACTATGCAGACGTTCGAAGAAGACCTCTTGAGTATGAGGTCGGTGACCATGTGTTTATTCGTGTGTCCCCAATGAAAGGCCAAGTGAAGTTTGGAAAGAAGGGCAAGTTGTTGCCCCGTTACATTGGGCCGTTTCAAATTGGTAAAAGTAGAATGGAAAGAACACTATGGGGCGGACGCTACATGGGAAAAAGAGGATGAAATGCGACTACGCTATCCACATTTGTTTCCCGACGAAAGTAAAATAAGTTTGGAGGACCAAACTTCCTAAATGAGGGAATTTTTGTGATAACCCTATTCCGTAGTATGCTAATTGATTTAATTATGATTGTGATTATGTGTTTAATGTGATTTTGGGTGCCATTGATATGTCATATGTGGTTTTGAATTTTTATCCGTTCACCGTAGGAAAAATCTGTTCAATTTACAGTTATGATCTGAAAATTATAGGCCTTATTGGCCACAGAAACCGAAATTGACTATGCCATTGTGATTGTCATAATTTTTAGAGCCTATGGTGAAATTTAATTAAAAATTTATTTGGAACAAAATAATTAGATTCAGAATGATTAATTAAGCACCATTGCTTAGCTCTAATCAAATTTGATTAGGCCATCTTATATATAGGCCTATATAGCCTTATGTTTTTGTTTTGAACACACTTTCTCTCATTTGGCTGAGATTTCTCTAGAGAGAAAGAGAGAGACAGGGCCAGTTCTAGAGAGAGAGAAGAGGAGGAAATATGCATTTTGGTTCAAGATTGTGAATTTGGAAAGCTACACTCAAGATTTAACTAGAATTTGTGAAGATTAAAGCTCCTAGGTGAGTAAATTCACAAGTTTGAGCTTCTGATTTTGTGAATTCAAGATTAAATGGTAACCAAGCACATGAGTTGTGTTGAATTTGGTGGAATTGAAGTTAATATACACATGCATGTATAGAATTGCCATGATTTTACACATTCAAGCATGGAGCATGTTGAACATGATGAATTGGGCACCAAATTTCACATGCATGCATAATTTTGTTAAGCTTCATGATTTTAAATACTACTTGTACCATTTGAAATGGAATTAAAGTCAAAAATTTACATGCATGCATGATTCATGTAAGTAGGGAGCTTGATTATTTGAGTCTTGAAATTGACAAGAAGAATTTGAAATGATTTGAGAGATGGATAATGATTTTAGACAATTGATTCCAAATTACTTATGTTCTTGTGTTATATAATGTCTTTCCATGCTTTTGTACAAAAAACATGAGTTTTGGGCCTTAGAACATCAAGTTTGAGCTTCAAATACAGTTCTTGAAATTCTAGAATTCGTCGAGTCCGCTCGAGCGGGAAAATCGCCGCTCGAGCGCAAAATGTTAGCTCCCAAAAGTTTTGCAGACATTGATGTCCGCTCGAGCGAGAGGAGTTACGCTCGAGCGCCCAGTCACATGTTTTGACTCTCAGCTCGAGCATCTAAAGTCACGCTCAAGCGTAAAAATAAGGCAACCAGCACTTTTGCAGCCCAAAGGGGTCCGCTCGAGCAACCGAAGCTGCGCTTGAGCGGAGAACCCTATTTCAGAAATTTTGAAAAGTGGTTTTGTGTTTTGTTTTTCGTTCTCTTTCATTTCTAAGCACTCTTAGGCATACATTGAGCATTGTAAATGGACTAAGAAGATAAGAAAGAGGCTAAAAAGGAATATATAAATTAAGAACGGATTAAATTATTTGTGACCCATTATGTTTATGATATATGTAGGGTCAAATGCAAGGGCAAATCGTCTGACAGATCACTATCAGTAATATCTTAGTAAAGACATGTTCAAATACGTTATTTTTCGAACATTACTATTGTATGAGCCTTGTGGATTTGTATCTTGAATTATGGATGAATAGTTTAACTGTCAGTCTTTTGCATAAGACTAATTGAATACAAATATGATCATGATCATGAGTATGAGACACACATTAATGGGAACATGAGAACAAAATGGGCCAAAGGCCGTTTGACATAAATGATTAGGCCAAAGGCCATTTGACATGAATGAATGCACCAAAGGCCGTTTGACATGAATGAATGGACCAAAGGCCGTTTGACATAAATGATTGAGCCAAAGGTCATTTGACATGAATAATTGGGCCAAAGGTTGTTTGACGTGAATGAATAGGCCAAAGGCCGTTTGACGTGAACAAATTGGGCCCTGAGGCCGTTTGATGTATTAGATAAAAATATAAATGGGCCTATTTCGTTTGTTATATCTGCTACAAATTTCGTTCACGTGACTTCTTTATTTTGATGTTATTCACTGGGCTATCGCTCACTCTCATTTATATTTGTGTAAGTGAGCAAAGAGATGTTTAATCCTAGCCTCAGTGAAAGACATGAGAGAAGTCAAGTTTTTGTGAAGTCAGCCTGAATGTCTTATACATGAGACTTGTTTTGTTTCTTTTGTTTTCTCTTTGTTATCTTGGTGAATATGTTGGATCACCATGTATATAAGCTTTTTGTTTGGCTGACTGTATGATTGAAAGTTCCGAGACATATAAGATGTTAATTTTGTCTATATGTGTAAGTTATTATGGAATGTTTGCTTTACCATGTAAGCACAGGTCATCGGACAAAATTTTTTAATCTGCTTCCGGTCGGCCCCATTATCGTTATAAAATATGTCTGTTTTTGTTTGAGGTCGTAGGTAATTTCTTGATTACTGGCCAGTTATGACCTTAACCCATAAGGGCAGGTTTGGGTCATGACAAGTGGCAAAAGGTGAAACAGAATGGTCTGGGCAGACAGTGCTATTCTTGGACGCTGCGTATGCGAACATCATGCATCCTTATACATCCTTATTTGATGATTAAATTATTAGTTATTATTGTTGTAATTAATTATCATTATTGTAATTAATTATTGTTATACTTAACCTTGTTTATTTGTAATTGTTGTAGTTAATTAGCTTAAATAGCTGGTTTACTTATTATGGTTACCCGTATTGTAATAGCATAGTTAGCTAGTTAAATTCTTTAATTTATTCATTCGGTTTTGTAATAAGTAGTTTAATTTGGACTTTCGAACTTTGATTCACACCTTCTTGCACGAGGGAAATGCTATAATAAGTTGTATGTCTTCTAATCCCACGCCTTTCTCCCTTTTACTTACTTTCTTATGATGGTTAATTTAGAAACACAACCTTTTTTTATAAGCATGCTCCATGTTTCACATCCATTTATCTTACATGCATCCAAGGTTCGGCTTATCATGCTAATCTAATATCAAATGTTCAAATTTATTACCTGAATATGTGCTCTCACATGTCTTGAATGGAATCATATGCCATGCTCATAGCTGAGACTGTAAAATACATAAATGTGCAAGTTGCATTAGTCATATTGTATTAATTAGGAAGATGCATATTTTTCTAATAATTTTGCTTTATTTTGGCTCAGAGTACTAGGTGAGTAATTTTATGTTTTAGCATCTTGTATCGAATGTTTCAAAGCATGAATACCATGAGGCTAAGTGGTTAAATGATATAATTATTTGAATGCTGGTGGATGAAGGCTAGTTGCTTGAATTGTAATGGTTTGATCAAATGTCCATTTTAGCCCACTTTTTCAAGTGGCAAATTCACAAACCAGTTTTCAAACAAAACATGTGATCAAATATTCCAACTCTTGCAAATTAGTCTATACTTATGTGCATCACATAGTAAAAATAGCTAATAAAACCGGAACAAAAGTATAAATGTAAATAAGGATTACATCATGATTAGTAGAGGCTGATCTTTGATCAGGCGAGTGGGGTGCTCAATTCATGACATTTTCCTCTCGTACCTAAGTTCTCGAGCTGAGACACTTTGGCGATGACGGACTAATGGCCTTTGGCACGAGTCTTGGGTTTCCTAAATTTCCCAAAAAAAATTTAGGTGGCGACTCTGAAATTTGGGAAAGCAGTTCATTTTTGGCATTTGATTCAAACATCGATTTTTCAAAAAGAATTGCCAGATTTAGACTCTTTTTGTGTTTTCACTATTTCACATTACACTTGTGAAATCAGATTCAGAACCACAAGTGGAGTCCGAACTGTAGGGTTATTTGCCTTCCAAAAAGAGCGCAAAAAGTCAGGCTACAAATATCAAAAACTTTTTAAAAAATCTTTATACAAGACTATTTGGCGCTAATTAAGTTTTGTGGGAGTTAGTACTCCTCCTATTGATATTGTTGCAAAAAATAAATCTATTACTTTTCTTTGTTTACATGCTATTTTAACATATTATGCATTGAATTCCAACTGCTGCCTATATTTAAAATTAATTTTTTAAATTGCATACATTCTTGTTAATAAATTTTCTTGTATTCCGAAATCCGATTAGCATAAGGCATAATAGTAACAACTACAATTTTTTTTTATTACTAGTATAGAAGTCTTGTATACATGCATAACTTCTTTAACAATTAAGTTTAAATTTAAATTTTAAATATGGGCACAACAACGAAAATGAAATAAATCACCACCAATAAGTAATTTTAAAGTTGATTTTAAACAGGTTATAGTCTGATTGTAATATGTTGCATTATCTAAACTAATGGTAAATATTTTATTTTGCAAAGTCCACTCATATAATACATTTCTTATTTCTATACCAAGCAAATGACCAGTGTATGGAAGTTCAACTAATCTAAATAAAATAATTCTTTTATTTAATTTATAATCATTGTTAATAAAATGTACAGTGATATATTGATATTCTAAACCATTATTTGACCACAGATCAAATGTTAAACAAACTCTTCCATTCAAATTTTTGAATATGTCATATAATTCATTTTTAATATCCTCAAATTTCTTTAAAATCTTGTTTCTAATAGTATTTTTGAAAAACTTTGATATTGTGATACAAAACTTTCGTGAAGATATTGTGGTACAAAACTTTCAGGAATCATTTAGGCAAAATCGAGACATTCGCTAGTAGTAAAAAGTTGTTCTTTTATAGTAATATAATCAATTACAAAAATTTTGTGCATATATAGGATTATATGAAAATGTTTGCAAATGATCAATTGATGAAACCCCTAATTGTATTTGACTTCTAAAATTAGATTGTTGACTTTGTAAATGTTTATTATCATGTTTTTTTAGATGACTAGTACCCATGCAGATGCAGCACCAAATAAATATGCACAATATTTACATTTTGCTTTAAATGTAATTGTATCATTAAGATTATTTATAGGTATTTTTTCAAAATATTCCCAAACGCCACTAGTTGTGCCCCCAGATAATGATCCAGCTGTTGGAAGAGAGATATTAGATACATTAGAAGGAGAATCAATAGATTCACATTGTGTAGTATATGCATCAATATCGATATAAACATTAGGAATGTTATGATCCATATATAGTAATGTAAGTAAAATAATATATAAGAACTAACAATTAATTTAAATAATGAGTAAACAATAACAACTAATATATGTTATGAAAATATAAAAAATGAGTAACTAATAAATTTAATTAAATTAATTAATGTTACCGACTGACGAATGTAATACAAAAAATAATTTCTTCTGATAAAAATTTCTTCTTTCACAATTGCAGTTGCCGCTTAGAGATGAGATTTCAAAATTAATTAAAAGAGTTAAAAGTTGAGAGTTGAGAGAGATTGAGAGTTTGAGAGAGAATTGTTTATGAAAAATAAAATGGGAGAGGGGGAATATTTATATGAGTTTGTAAGGATGGAGTCAATTTGTAAATAAATAAATAAATAAATAATTTGGGCTATTTTGTTAAACGGTCATGTGATCGTTTGAATTAAATTTTTTATTTATTTATTTATTTTTACCGTTAGTCTGTCGTAGTAGACATATGAATTTTATTTTATTTTATTTTTTTTGGGTTGTTGTTGGTGGCGCAACAGTCTAAATGAGCAGACAATTAATATTATTATTATTTTTTTAATTTTGACCGTTGCTCAATCAGAGAGAGAGAGAGGGAGGGCAAGTGAGCTGCCGGGCCAGACTATCAGGCCAGCAAATCAAGTTAGGCTTCAAAATGTCAGTCCAGACCCAAGCCTAAAGTCCCAACTCACATCGGGCCACAAATAAATTTCAAATCACCCACGAGTCTCGAACTATTTTTACACCAATCAAAACCTTTAGGAAGTGCACTGTTACCTTGAGTTAGCAGCTTTTGACCTGCTTGTTAAAATAGACTTAAATCATCGAGATTAGTCGAACGGGACCATTTAGTCCGTGGTGGGACGTTATCAATGACCGAACTGAACCGGGACGTCATCAATGACGTCAGCATCAACCACGTATATATACATGTTTATGCATGATGAATGTAAGATTGTAGTTGAGTAATCAATCCGAAGAGGAAGAAGAAGGAGGGAGCAAATTTTGAAAAAAAAAAAAATGGGGGAGGTGGATATGCAGAGAGTGAAGCTGGGAAGCCACGGTTTGGAGGTAACTAACTATATATATTTCCATTTTTTATTTTATATTTTTTTGGATTCCAGTGTCAGTAGTGTCAAGAAACGTTATAATTATATATGTATGTACATGTTTGTGTTTTTTTGAATTATTTTGATCATATCATAAGAATTTCAGCATTACATTTTGAGGGAAAAGTGTAGGGGAAGAGATTGTTACTTTACGCTCAACTATCAATTTGGACAATTACCCTAAGGTTTCATTTGTGAGTGAGAATGGAATGGAATGGAATGGAATGACCATTCTCTTGAAATGGTGAATGATGATTCAAATGTATTTTGTCACTATTTTGTTATAGTCTACCAAACATGGAGATGAAAATATTGATAGAATGATCATTCCATTCCGTTTCATTGCAGTTAACCAAATACTAACTAATATTAATCCCAAGCCATTAACGATGTTAATATTTTTGATAATATCAAACATGGTGGCACGTACGAAATTAATTAAGAGTATTGATTCACTTTGCCCCATGGTAGGAGCATCTCCGTTCCTTAATTTTTTTTTTTTTCATCAAATTTAAATTTGATGAAAAATTATTCAAAAATATCTGCAATCCATTCATCAAATGTTCATTAAATCAAGGGAGAACTATTTTTTTCATCAAATTGATAATTCATCAAATCCTTTTTTTTTTTTCTTCCATCAAATTTGATGAAAAGAGAAATTTGGGATACGAGGAGAATGTTTGAAAAGATTTTGATGAAAGGTTGATACAAAAGGTTGGAGTAGTTTATATCAAATCAAGTTTTTTACTCAAATTTAGAATCAAATTAGTTGAAGAAATTGATGAAGGGTTGGAGATAGCTAAATAGAGAAACCATGCAACAAAACATAACTAACTGTTTTAAAATTACTCAATAAAACACAAAATACAACCAATTGTAAGAATCTACTGCCTTTCAATACAACCACCTTAAGAAAATTATGTGCAAAAATATTTGTGGTGTGGTATTTCGTAAAAAAATATTAACTTAGTTGATAGTTTGGCGTAAAGCGAACTAATGTCTATAATTGGGTAATTGTTCAAATTGATAGTTCAGGGGTAAAGTGACACTAGTTTAAGAGGGCAAAATGAAGTTTTCCAAAAAAAGGAAGAGCATGTGAGAGACAAAGAGGAGAAATATTTGCCTTGTCTTGTATTTTTATTATACATCTAGATTTATTATAAGATGTCTTTTACAAAGTGTAGAGAGTTGAGGTCTTAGTTAAGTTTTGAGCTTTTCAATCTTTATTATGCATAGCAGATTTGATCGTCTAAACTCTGATAGACATCGGTGTCTATTGAAGCATGTATATCTCTTGTTCTGTGCAATTATTTTATTTATCTTGGATTGGAACCATATGCGTTTAACATTACCCGTCATAAGTACTTTTCATTTTCAAAACCAGCAGCCACATGCAGCATCCAAGAAGACCACCATGCTCCACATGCACTTGTGAAGCACAAAATCACACACTCATCAAAAAGAAAGAGGAAGCAGCTGTATGATCCAAGTGCCCCCGTCTCTTGCTCTCCATTGCCGATGCCTTTTCTTCCCAGCCATCAACCTTCCCTTAAACCCTGGCCACGACAACCATACAAACCCCTGTCGTGACCCAAACCCCATCCAAACCCCTTCAGTGCGAGTATCACATGAGTGCATAGTGCAAGTGACAAGTTTGACAGTCGACAGGGTTTGCACTTGTACTGGGTACACATTGCACTTGCATCAAGCATAGGTGCCACTTGTAGCAAGCACATTTGGAAGCAGCAGGAGTAGGGGCTGTCGGGTTGTAATGGAGAGGGATGGAGTTGGGTGGTTGCAGTGGTAGCTAGGATTTGGAGGGAGGGGCTTGTTGAGTGGGGTTGGGAGGGGCTGGGAGTAGCAGGAGAGCGACATGGGGGTTGTGGTGATGGTGGAGGGGCTAAGAATGGTGGAAGAGGGCGGCGGTGGAGGTGCTAGATACCAAGGGAGGCTTATGCAGAGGTGGACGGACCTGTGGAGAGTGCTTGGGTTGTCAATAAGAAAGGAAGAGGGTTGAGGCTTTACCAATTAAGTTTGTTTGCACCTTTGAAACATTGATAATTTGTACCTTCAAAAATCTTATAACTAAAAAAACATTGCCATCAACATAAAAGGTTTTGGTTTTTCTTTTATTTATTTTTCATTTTTTGTTTTCGGATAGTTTAAAGAACTATTATAGTGTCATGTTAAATTTTTTATGCACTCGGTATATGCATTATAATTCTTATGCCTTGTGGAATGACTCTTGTATCTTATAGAATATGTGGGTTTAGAGAGTAAATTTGGCCATGTATTTAGAAGGTCCCTTCCCTAGTTTCTTTTACCAGGGAAGGGGGGAAAAACCAGTCACACACCCTTGACGGTAAGGGGGGAAAAACCAGTCACACACCCTTGACCTAGTAGTCAGGTTTAGGTTCGTGTAATGTGAGTTGTGAATGTGTTTATTACTCAATCCATTTTCATTGAACCTTTCTTCATGTAGGTATCAAAACTAGGGTATGGCTGCATGGGGCTTACTGGAATCTACAATTCTCCTGTCTCTGAAGAGGATGGCATTGCAATAATAAAGTACGCATACAGTAGAGGGATCACATTCTTTGATACCTCAGATATTTACGGTGTTGACCATGCAAATGAAATATTGGTGGGAAAGGTAATTACACAGGGACATGTTTTTTATTGTAATTTTGATAGTCCACCATGCTTTCTTGGAGCAGAACAAAACTTGGAATACATTAAAAATAATTCTGCACCTGGATTTTGACTCCTTATTGTTTATAAGCTTGGTCGACTGTTGAAGGGATTGTGGTGGGAGGGATGGTACTTTGAAATGTAAATAGAATTTGTTTGTAAGTGTGGATTGTGAAGCACAAAGTTTCACTTTTAAGAATATGATTCATTGAATGTTGGTCATTTGCATGTGCCATATGTTGATAAGTGTGATTTCTAATTCATGATTTCAACTAAATATGCAACTGCTACCTAAACTTCTACTTTAGCCTGATGTTCTTTTTTGGTTAGCTATGTCCTAAAATACATCTTTTTGTTGTTGTTGGGAGTACTCTTTCATTTAGTAGAACCTGAATCGTGCAGGCACTAAAGCAGCTGCCTCGGGAAAAGATCGAATTAGCCACAAAATTTGGTATTGCCAAAATTGAACCTACCCAAGTTGTGGTGAAAGGCACCCCTGAATATGTTCGCTCCTGTTGCGAGGCGAGCCTGAGGCGCCTTGGTGTGGACTACATTGATCTCTACTATGTACACCGGATTGACACATCAGTACCTATAGAGGAAACCGTATGTGTCTTGGTTCTTCTTTCCGATAATATCAATACACCCTAAAGTTTACTGGTTTATTTTTCTTTTAAAAAAAAAAGGGGAGGTATTATTGGAGTTTGAATAATTTTTTCATTAGTATTATTTGTAATTTTTTGTGTATGTGATGTTTGAATGAAATTTTCTTCTTGAATGGCAGATGGGGGAACTTAAGAAGTTGTTGGAAGAGGGTAAAATAAAGTTCATTGGATTATCTGAAGCAAACCCAAACACAATAAGGAGGGCACATGCTGTTCATCCTATCACTGCTGTACAAATGGAGTATTCTCTTTTTACTCGCGACATTGAGGAAGAAATAATCCCAGTTTGCAGGTTTATTCACATTTCACCCAAAATTTGTTCAGCTTAACTTGGTTTTGGTTTCATTCGCATTTTTATTCAAAAAAAATTGAGGACTGTCTAAATAGCTGTTTTATTTTGATAATTAACAAATTGACTCGCAAAAAAGAAGTTTATATGCAAAAGACTCTTTAGCTAGCAGTTTTTGAAATTCAATTTTCTGTAAGCATATTTGTGACTTCTTCATTAGAGTTCACATCTTAAGCTTCCAATAGTTCAATTTTCATCTAATTTAGTTCCAATTTTTTCATTTGTTTTTCTTTTTATCTTAGGCTTACACATTCTTGTAAACTGTGCTCTGATTATCAGGGAACTTGGAATTGGTATAGTTCCATATGCTCCAACTGCTCGTGGGTTTTTTGGAGGAAAGGCAGCTGTGGAAAGTGTACCTGCAAATAGTTTCTTGGTATGGAAAGCATCTTTGTTTTTTAAGATTCATTTAGGATATGTACCTGCACATTTTATTTTATTTCTTGTTGCAATGAATTAGACAAAAAGAATGAATGTCTAACATTTAAAACATTTCTATCAGGAATCACATCCTAGGTTTACAGGACTGAATCTAGAGCAGAACAAGATCTTTTATACTCGAATAGAAGCATTAGCTAAAAAGCATGGATGCTCCCCTATCCAACTTGCGCTTACTTGGGTTCTTCATCAAGGGGATGGCGTGGTACCTATTCCAGGTTAGCAACTCATCAAAATTTTGCTTATTCAGTGTAGAGTATACCTTTTCTTTTCTTTTTCTTTTTTCCTTTTTTTTTTGTTTTGTTGTTGTTGTTGTTGTTGAAAATCTATCAAAAATGAAAAGTGATTAAAAAATAGAAGCATGTCTGATATGAAACATTGACACTGGAAGTGCCTTCCTTTGCAATTTAAAAGAGGTTTTCCTTTTTAAATAAGTGCTAGAAACCGGATTCAGAACAGGAAAGAAATTTATTGGTAAGCATTAACATCTAATATTACTACTAAGCAGATTGTGGCATTGTTTTCATCTACACCTATGTCCTCTCAGTTAACCACAATATGTTGGCTAGTATATCCTATAGGCCATCTAATGTTTGTTATTTAAAGGATCAAAAGGTGTAATTTTGTATAGATGTAATTCGTAACTTTTAATTATTTCTCCTCAATGGCATCTTCTTTCATCCTGGTGAAATTTTAGTCAAAGATGTCATTGTGAATATTCATCCTCGGTCTATTTTTGACCAATTGTTTCAATATGCTGCTCTTTAATACTGAATGACCAACAATATACAATCATGTAAACAGCCCTCATGGACGAAAATAATGACTCGCTCATACATGGGTACACCATGTCCAAAGTTTTGTTAAATAGAATAGACTAGTTTCAATTTCTAGACACATGTATTGTTTCTTTGTTCATACATGGGTACATCCATGTCCAAAGTTGTGTGAACAGATCATAGCCCTATATTCTGATTTCCTAGACCCATGGTTTGCTTAGACAGTAGAACAAGGAAACAGGCAAGGACATGCACTATCTGAGAATGCTACTGTTTCATTAAGCTTTGCTCTATCTCTCTTTTTCAACTTTTTTTTTTTAAAAATTTCCCAAGGTTCTGTTTGGATAATAGATTTGGTAGGGATTTGGAAAGAGAAAGGAAAAGGTGAGGGAAATAGAGAAAAAAAATGAGCTTATATTTCAGTCGTATTTCCCTCGTTTTTTCTTTTCCTTCCACAAATCTTTTCTCAAATTCTAGATCCAAACCTAAGAATACAGAATAATTTTTTTTCACATTTACTGCCCAGCTAGCTATTGATATGTTCGTTTGATGCTTCATTACTAGCATGGAAGTATTTATTATTCTTCTAGTCTGGAAATGTTTTTGACTAGATCTTGTTAGCTTGCCAAATTTGCTCATACTGTATGGCTACGTTATCTGTTCTCTCATTGCTTGTAGGAACGACCAAGATAAAAAATCTTGATGAGAATATTGGTGCAGTGAGAGTGAAGCTCGATGAGGATGGTCTAAAGGAGATTTCTGATGCAGTGCCTGTCAATGAGGTGGCAGGGATTAGAACACATGGAAGTTTTTACAATGTCTCGTATAAGTTTTCAGATACGCCACTGCCAAAGGATGCCAAGTGATCTGCTGGTGGAATATTTGATGTTGTTTTTGTGTTGTGCTGTCTTGTGTTTGTTGCTATTGGATGTCGCCTTTAATTAGAAGATTGTGATGTGACGTTTTTTGTTACCAATTAATTGTATAATGCAATATTGACGCAGCGGAACATACGGAGACTAGATATCGTTCTAGTAGATGAAAGGGGCTCTCGAATCCACGAGAAAAATAGAACCTTGAATCTACAAGGAAGAGAAATATTATTGAATGAATGAATAAAAGTTGTATTTGTCATGAGGCTTACATAGCTATTTATAATAAACTAAACCTAATACTTGTAGGAAAAATAATTCTAAAAATAGGAAACTTAAATCATCACAAATTAGAAAACCTAAGAGAATAGGAAACTAAAATTCTAAACTATTTAAAATTCTAGTCAAAATCTAATTCTAACATAATAAAATTAAAAAACCTAATAATTCTAAAATATTTATACTAAATTACAAAAATCCTAATAATATATCAAAAATATTAAAACTTAAAAATATAAAAATTCTTAAAATGTTGTCCTGAAAATCTTGTCCTACATCAGACTCCTCTTCTTTGAAAGAACTCGTCCTCGAGTTCATATTAGAGAACTGCCATCGTCCATCCCAAATAAAAATATACTTGCAATACTTCAGTTGTTTGTCCCTCTTCCGAACATTATATGCAGAGAAGCCTACTTTTTTAAAGTTATTCTCTATATGCTTCAACTGGTTGACAAGATCAATTAGACAAGTATTGAAAATCAAATTAAATTGCTCCACACTAAGAAAATCAACCAAATTTACTTTATGTAGAACTTCCATGCTCTCTTGATGTTGTACCATCCCAATTCAATTGATCCTTCAATTATCAACCTTGGAATATAAAGTATAGTATCAACCAATTTCTTTGTTGCACACAACGGTTGTATTATCTCTTCTTCTATTTTCTCTTTGTTATTGGGCTCAATCAAATCTCCTTCTTCAATATTTTTATGATTTGTTTGTAAAACTTTCTCCCCAATATTCAAATTATCATGTGTTGACGCATTATCAACACTCGAACAAGACTTTGTATCGTCTTCATTAGTTTTACAAACAATCTCATCACAAATAATATTTGGATGCGAATTCTTTTCTTTTGCAACTACAATTTCATTGCAAATTTTTACCAACTCTGTAGAAGTATTTTGATTTGTATATGAGAATATATCCTCATGATCATGAAAGTAAAATTTTGATGCTAAAAACTTTTTCATTGTTAACCATAAATAAATTTTGTCTTTACCTTTGCAAACTCGATAATCTTGTAATCCATTCCACCACTTCAATGCAATTTTATCAAGTTTGTAGGATGCAAATATAACCTTCTTTTCATGAGGAATCTTCATGAATTCAAAGAAATTTTCAAGATTAAGCAACCAATCAAGAAAATCTTCTTTGTGAAACTTACTTGAACCGTTAAAATATGAAATTTCTGCAAAATAACGTAAGCTAACAGGTTGGCATCGGGTGAATCCTCCGGCACAATTGTTGTCAACTGTTGGTTGCCTCTGGTTGGCGATTAGTCCCAAATCGGCAAGTAGATTACAAATCTCTTTGCAAAGTTCATGCACCTCTAGCCGATGTTCCTCAATCGCATCCCATATGGCTTCCACCCTACGATCAACGTCAATAGGGATTGTGTGTGCTCCATTGTCTTGTGTAATTGAGCTAGGCGAATCCATGCTCTGATACCACTTGACGCAGCGGAATACACGGGGACTAGATATCGTTCTAGTAGACGAAAGGGGCTCTCGAATCCATGAGAAAAATAGAACCTTGAATCCACAAGGAAGAGAAATATTATTGAATGAATGAATAAAATTTGTATATAAAAGTTGTATTTGTCATGAGGCTTACATAGCTATTTATAATAAACTAAACCTAATACTTGTAGGAAAAATAATTCTAAAAGTAGGAAACTTAAATCATCACAAATTAGGAAACCTAAAAGAATAGGAAACTAAAATTCTAAACTATTTAAAATCCTAGTCAAAATCTAATTCTAACATAATAAAATTAAAAAACCTAATAATTCTAAAATATTTATACTAACAAAAATCCTAATAATATACCAAAAATATTAAAACTTAAAAATATAAAAATTCTTAAAATGTTATCCTGAAAATCTTGTCCTACATCAAATATGTTGAACAAGATGCCAAGACTTATGTTAAATTCCTAAAATGTAATTGTACACAAATTTTGAGGCTTGCAATAAAGATGTGAAAAAGTAACACAAATATTAGTTGTGATAAAGTAAGTACAGGTCTCTATGGTTTGTTCTATTACAAGAGAAAAAAATTCTCTTATTTAATCTCCGGAACGGGATTCAATTCAACAAATGTAGAAACTTTTATTCAAAATGTGGAAACTTGTTGAATTAAATGAGTTGATAAATTTTCAATAAAAGAGATAATTGTCTCACCTTTTATAGAATTAATTTGACTTGGAGTTTGAGTTTGAATTTGAATTTGTCCATCATTTTTGACTTTTGAAAGATCTTGACAAATGTTCTTGTGGGCTCGCATTTTTGGGTTGAACTAATTGTCTGACCTAATTGTCAAAACTGGTCATGTCAAGGAGTAACTTAGATTTTTTTTTTTTTTTTTTTTTTGCCTACTTCAAGAGACAACATATACGATTTTCTCACTGTCATCTTTTACTTGGTCTTTGCATTGTCTTGTTAGTACAATGGCACGCCTTTTAACTTTGAGGAGACCATCATTGCTAACTTAAAGTGACATGATTCACTTCATGCGAGAAGGGACCAAGCTTTGTGTTGTTTCATCTTCTTTAGTTGGAGCGACCTTGACTTCTTTTAACTTTCTTATTTGGTTTATCTTTTTTTGGTTATGCATCTTTGTTTTCAAGTAGAGAAAAAACCGACCTCCATGGATGAAATGTTCCTTCTTAGTTGAAAATGCTCAGCTTGTCAACACTAAAGTGCGAGAAATTTCAATATGGTCAAAGACTGAGACTCAATTAGTTGTGACTTCTTCATTACTCGAGACCATGTAAATTGTCTTGACCAAATCATTATTGAAGTACCTCTTTGGAAAGAAAGTCATAGGTGATTGGTGCGGATGAACTTTGCTCAAGCAACTTGTTTGCTTGCAGTATTCTTGTTACACCATTCCTTTTTGTGTAGTTGATGAACATTCTTTTGCTTTTGAAATTTGAGGAAATTGAGTCTTGGACTTGTCTTTTTGTATAAGAATCCAACCTTCATCATCCTTTATTGTTGGGACTTCTTCAATGTAAGGATGGACATACATTTCTTAGTTGGGGACCTGAATCGTTATGGGTTCAAGTGAATCGAACCAGATAATTTTGGAGATTGCCCCAATATTAGAGTTGAGGGCTATTATATTTTCTCCTTAAAGTTTGAAGTTGTAGTACTTGAGTATATCAGAAGTGAGTTATAAGCTTAATACAATTAAAGCCCTAGGTTTATACAAATGTTAAATATAAAATAACAAAACTGAGCCTTCAGCTCCACAATCCTCCCAAGCTAAGTCTTTGGTAGAGGCATATCACTAGCACCTGAAAATATTTTTCCCAAATAGGGTGAGTCAAAGCCCAGTAGAAATGATCTAACACAATTTATGAATCTTAACAAAGATATAAGTGTAATATGCACATATAATGTCCGTGATAAAATCATTTATAACTCTTTTGCAAAATCATACAATGTTGAACTTATGTCTTGATCTATTTTATCTTCATTCATGAGTCATTTCCATTTTATCCAGACAACCAAACTGAGAATGCAACTCATGGGTCTATAACCAATACTGCCATCATACAAACACTTCTATTTTCCTTTTAGGGATATTTCGTCCATAGGAATTGGCACCCATGTACACTCATGGTTTTCAGGACTTTCACCCTAGACACTCCGGCCAACTTAATTCAACGAAGTACATCTCCTTTCTTCTCCCAAACATGGGGTACATCTCATTTCTCCTCTCTAACATCATACATTTACAATGTATTAAAGATGTGACATGTTTAATGCAATTGGATTAGTAAATTAGTTTCAATTCACCTAATTCTCATGCAATTTCTACAACAATCATAGCTATCCTCCACCGATAGTCCAAAACAGATATTTCTAAACAGATATACAATCTCTAGGACAGATAACTTATCCAAATTTCAAAGTGTGAGTGATAATACATATCCGACTCCACTATTTATATTAACATCAATCTAATTTTACTTTTTCATTACCAATTCCGTTTATTTTTACAAAATAAGTATTTGAGACATTTTAGGGCAAACTCCATTTTTTCAAAATTCAACCCAAGTATCAAAATCAACAATTTTATTGCAACACAATGTCATATTCACTCCCATGACCATTTTCAATACATCCATTCATAAAACCTCTCTTTTGATTTTAAACAAAAGCCCTAGGTTTATTCAAAATCCTCTAAAATCACATTATTGTTTAAAAAAAGAAAATAGCTGAGTTAAGAACCATAGAAAAGTATAGAAAATCTCTACCTCAAAGTTAGAAGATGAGCAAAGCAAGAAAAAAACTCGGATGAAGCCGAAACCCAACTCTATTCAGATAAAAACGTAGCCTTAGAGATGCTCTACCTTTTTAACAAAAGCACACAGGTAGAGAAACCACTAGATCTAGGTGAAAATGTAGAGAGAGAGAGTGTGTGAGTTTTAGAGAGAAAAGCTCTAGATCTAGGGTTTTTGAAATGTTGAAGAGAGAATGAAATGAAAAAGTGATGTAAAATGTCACTTTTACGGACTGAAATACGCACAGTCCACTCCAACGCAAGAAGTGACGCTCGAGCGTCCAGACACAATAAGTTGTTCCGCTTAAGCGCAAAATACACACTTCCAATAGTTTTGCAGACAGCGGACCAACGCTCAAGCACAAGAAAGGATGCTCAAGCGCAGAAAGCACCGCTCGAGCGTAGAATACACTCTCCCAGTAGTTTTGCAGACCTGCAAAAGTACTGAGAGTTCACAAAGCCCGCTTGAGCACAAGAAGTGACGATCGAGCGGAGGAGTAAACTTCTGGACAACAAAAGTTTGAAAATCAAGCAACCAACTTGTTCCGAACGCAACCACTACAATCTAATAGCCAAATTCAAGGAAGTATAAGAGAAGTAAGACATGAACAACAATACGAAACCATAAAACCCGAGTCCAGGATGCAAAATGGGTTGGGTCTAAACCAGAATCGCTATAATCT